CAAAATGAGCTTCGGTGTCAGTGGTATCGCTCCTCATCATCGCTTGCCCCGGGGGGAGGGAGGGGAGGGGAGAGGGCCGGTGGTCCGAGGATTCGAACCACCGACCCCCGGGGGGACGGAGCCAGCTAGAGCGCGATACCACTACACTACCTAGGCGGCGAGAGAAAACGGCGTCTGGATCATATTTGAGCTGCCTTCGCCCGGCCGTTGCAAACGGAAAGTGGAAAACGAATTTCTAGTGGGCCTCGAACCTCTGACCATCGGTTCTCCGCGCTGGCGCTTTACCGACTGAGCTACGACGCCACGATACTGTCGATGGCTGCGAGAACCTTTTTTGTGCGTTCGCCCCTTCGCAATAGAGAGCGGAGGAGCGAGAAAAATCGTGGACAGCCCGCTGTGGGTGAGAGTCGTTCCCACACCGACGCGATCTGTCGCAGACGCCTTAATCCACTCGGCCACTGACTGCTTGCGGGGAGACTTCGTCCGCTTCTGCCTATGTCTCTACAGGCCATCTGGAACGAACTTTCAAATATTCAGCCAAGGCCTGGATTCGATCCGAGGCCGAAGCACAAGTATCAACGCAATTTCATTCTTTTTTGTTGTAAAACGGGTATTCGAAAAGGCTGGCATACAGTGCGCCCCGACCGGGAGTCGATCCCACGCCACTGCGGTCAATAGTCGACGCTCTAACCCACTCGGCCGGCCACTGACAGCTGGTGGGGGGAACTGTGTCCGCTTGTGCGTCTGTCTGAAGTGGGCCTGACTGACCATGCCACCTACTCAGCAGGCGCCGCAAAAACATTCGCCTCCACCAGGAATCGATCCCGCGCCCGCGCCAGGCGGGGGCCAGTGAACCATGCCCCGGCACGCTCGCCTCTCGGCTGTCGGCTCCAGTCGTCAATATTGAGTTCAGAACTCGGTCCTGCTTTACGAGTTTTGGTCTCCCGTATTGCACGCGTTCAGGTCGAGTCAAGTCCACCTCCTCGACGCGCTGCAGCCCGGGTCGAAATCCTGGCCAGAAACACGGACAAAGGCCGAGAAATGCACCTAACCTAACCCCCGCGCGCCCGGGATTCAAGATTCAAGATTCAAGGCGCGCGAAGCGCGCTTTGGGGCTCATTTACTGGCCATTTTCCTTGTTTCTGGCCAGGAGTCGACCCGGGCTGCAGCGCGTCGAGGAGGTGGACTTGACCCGACCTGCACGCGTGCAATCCGGAAGACCAAGACTTGTAAAGCAGGACCGAGTTCTGAACTCTCCACTGACAAGTGGAGCCGACAGCCGATAGGCGAGTGCCCTCGTCCGTGGTGCCCAAGACACTGTCGGCCCAGGGGTCGAGTCCTGGTTGGGGCGAACACTTTGTTGTTGTTTTTTTGGGAAAGGGGGGGGGGGGCTGCTGAGTAGGCGGTCAAGTCCACTTCCTCATGTCGGCTGGTCTTTTGTCCTAACCCATCGTCAGGCCGTTTAGACACTTGAATAGACATTTCTGCGTACGGCTATTGCACCGCCAGGCTACTCCCATCCGCTCCTTAGCCGTGAGTCGACTGTATCGCGGATACAGACTGTCAGGAGCCGCCCTGCCGCGCCGCGCGCGTGGAAGCGTGTGGAAGCCCGCCCTTCCTAGGCGCCACGGGCAGGGCCCGTGGGTAAAGTCCAGTGGCCACTGCAGCTAGGTTTTTGAGATGAGTGGCCGCTACCTTGACTTTGCGAGGAGAAATGCCCGATGACTCGAGACGGGTCCGGGAGGGCCCCTGTACGCTCGCAGGGCGGGCCGCCGGCACGAGTTAGCTGCTTGGCGGGTTGGCCTACCCAGTGCATTGCAGGCGCTATCGCCCTTGACCGCCAACCAATACTTCTCATTGTTGGCTGATCAACAAATAAAAAACAAAAACACTCACGAGAAATTGTATTAGTAAAATTAGCACAAGATTTTTGCCTCTATTTGATGAAAATATGGATATATTTGGTCTCTTTGAGGCTGTCCTCTCACTTCGCCCCAACGGTCCTGAATATTTGTTCTGGAAGAAGTTTTTCGGCATGGTGAATGAAAATTGGCTACGCAGCTTTGAGGAAAGGACAAGAGGTGGCTGTAAGTCTGTAAGTTAGGGTCAGAGTTTCCCGGTGGTGTGGACCCAGTTCACAGACTACAGATTCAAAATTTATTGCAGCATTTTATATTTATTGGGACTTCATTGAAGAGGTAGACAGTACGTTGCCAATGGGCCAGCAGTACCAGCAGGCCCTTGGAGTAGTTTCTGAGAAGACTCAGAATACCCTGAGCTCAAACAACTGTGGAGTGCTGTTGGACACAGCCATGCAAGTCTTGAACACGCGAAAGAGGGAACATAGCAGGTATCCACAAAATGCTGGTTTGCTTTTGTATCCATGGTGCAAGAGAGAGAGTTTCAGGTTTCACTGTCTGCATTAAATTTGCTGGATCTAGGTTTCCAGAAGACCCAAACAATTCAAAGTGGGTTATCCATGAGAAAATTATTGAAATATGGTCTGCTTTGGTGAATCAACTGCAAGAGAAAGCAAGCGGAAGAGGTTGATTGATTAACTCAAACAATTGGAAGAAAGACTTTATTCAATCTTATTTTCCAGACATTTAAATTTTCACACTGAGTTATGTTTTCAAGAACAACTTGATTCATTAGTATGGCGCTTTAATGCTAAAATCAGTCAAATCATTGAATTTTTATCTTACAAATGTAATATGGTTGGAATGTTGGGAGACAAAAAACTAAAAGTTAAAACAAAATCTGCTTTCAAGCATATTGTGATTAGGGGGAGAGAGATAGAGATAGAGAGAGAAAATGGGGTAGGCAGGAGATAGTTAATGGAAGGGGATTTGTAACCAGAAATTCCAATAATGTCTAAAACATTGTACATAGCAGTCTAAATGACTGACGAACAGTTCTGTTTCTTGATAATAGAAGTAAATAATCACATTGTGAAAACAATGGCAATGATCTTACATAGCTCATTGCAACAAAGAGATTTAAGTATGTTCTGAGACCTGAAAAAGAATCACATTTAACTTGAAATACCAAAACATCATAATTTTAAAAAAAGATCTATGCAATAGTACAAGGCCAGTCTTGTAAGTAGTTTTGCAAAATAATGATATACACGAACAATATCTAATTGTTTGCCCAACTGTGCTGCGGTCTACAAGCCTCCTTTATTTCAGTAGATAGAAATGGACCATATAATGAAATTGATAGCAACAAAAAAATAACAAACTCAACAAAATAGTTTCACGACCAGCATATGATAACTCAGTTAAACAAAGACAATTCAGCGATATCAAAAACATTCATTACTCATGAGCGCTTTATGAAGTTAGAGTATTTCAAATTGCATAACAAAATATTTACAATTCATGATAGTCGTTAATTTGTTTTTAGACGACTGATCATCCACATTCTTTTCACAAATATATTACAAATAAGATAATTTCAATAAACTCTCATGTGCTCAGATTTGGCACAGACACCATTAAAAAACTCTTATCATTTATTTGGCATCTTGGGAACTATATTTTTTGGTATAAAATTCTTAAAAGGTGAATCTTAACAGGACAAATTTAGTATTCCCACTTGTTCAAGTACAATAAAGGCGTAAGTTAGAAAATAGTGGCCATTTCTCGAGTAAATCAAAACTGAAAAGTCCTTCAAATAGAGTGTGACGATTTTTATTCTTTTAGTGGTTTTAGCAATGTTGCTGAGTATGTACCATTCTATGGTTCAACATAAGCCACATAAATTTGATGAGTAAAAAGCTCAGTTCAGTATTACTGTTCACAACTGTCCACAACCTTATTCCTACCAAGCAGGTAAGAAGCAAATCATTTTGGTACATGTGAAATCTCTTAAAAATCACAAAGTTCTGTGTAACTTAAAAAACAGGGCAAACAGTTGACAACTTAAAATATAGAATAATACGAACACAGCTCAAGACATAATTCTTCACATTGAAAACGATGCCAAAAAGTCTTTGAAACACATCAACTAACATATAAACACATGCATTTGACAAAATAGACATCAATATTTACATAATGCTGTGCAAGCACACTATGACAATAACAATGCTTCTTAGACTTAATAATGCAGCAAAGATATGCCTTCAAATGTTAGCGGACGGGATTTTTAGAGGATCAGGGGACTTACGTTTTTCAGAGAAGTAAATTTACTAACATCAATGGGTTTGTATCCAGGCTTTGCTTGTGGCAATTTCTTTGCTGCTTATCTCATATTTAATACAGATGCACAATTTCAATGCACATTTTAATGATCCCTAGTGCTTCAACACAAAGCTCACAGTGGTCAGCAAGAGTAGCACACACTGTGCAGAGATTATGTAAGCCTCTTAATTTTAATTTCACAGAGACACCAAATAGATTCACAGTAATAAAAAAGGTTCATTGATAAGGACAGCAATGAACTAAAATACAATAATTAAAAAGCACCATAATCACATTTTCTCATCTCTTTCAAACATATTTTCACATTCAAACAAGGACATATGCTTTAGTAAGTGGGTAATGTATACCACAAAGAAGTGTTGGGGAAAATGGGGTATAATGATCTCACACTTTTGTCCTTTACTTACTGGAACAAATTTTTGTGTCCTTAAATTAATAACTAATTTCCTCATATGCACTCACATCACAGATATATGTTCAACTATGGAAAAATTGAACATGGTAACATCAACACAGTAGAAGACAATTTACAGCTATTATTCACATAAACGCTCCCTCTAGAAAAAAACAAATAAAACAAAGAATAGGTCCAATAAGAAATTTGTTTGGAAGCACTGACTTTTAGTGTCCTGCATTAAGTATCGTGCTTCACTAGGTTTTTGTGCCCTTTGGCCAAGAAGTCCTTGTCTGTACAAATATATAATATATAACTTATGTACACAACATTTTTTCATATTCTCTGTCCTAATATGTACACTTCTCTTGACGGCCCGGCCAGGGGACGGAAAGCTTTGACTAGACTAGCAGGGCGGCTCTGTACACGGTCTCCACCATGAGTCCGCAGGCGGGCCCTCCTCACCGGCGGCCAAGGCCGAGGCTAGGGAGACACTGGAGGCACTGCGTTTCCTCTTGGCGGAGGCTCCGGGCTCGTCGCCGGCGTTCTTCTTGACGAAGCGTACATTGTAGGGATCCTCGGCCAGCTCCGGGTAGCGGAAGATGTCGTGGATGAACTCGCCCTCGTACGCCGCGGCCTGCCCGGTCTTGAGGATCTCGTCCTGCTCCGAGGCCGACCACTCGACGGCCGAGCCGAGGCCGGAGCCCGAGCCCGCCAGGCCGCTGCGGATGGCCTCCTGCTCGCGGTGCCACGCCTTGCGCACGGCAGACATCTTGGCGTGGTGCAGGATGCGTTGCTTCTCCTTCTCGGGCGTCGTGCCGTACCGCAGGTTGATGACGGCCGTCTGCGTGTGGATCTTGAGGTCGATGATCTGCGAGAGAAGTGAGTCGGTTGTGAATGAGTCGGTTTCGGTTCACATAACGTCAAACGCGTTCCCATCGAGGTCCCCGAGAGTTTGTTTACCTTCTCCTTGTCGCCAGTCTTCTCGTGGAACGTGGTGTTGACGGAGCCGCCCAGCCGCTTGAGCTGCGCCTTGTCCTCGCCGGCGCGCTCGACGCGCGGCTGCACGAAGAAGAGCGTGTCCTGGGACGCGCCGTGCACCAGCAGCAGCACGTCCAGCATGTACGAGCCGTTGAAGACGGAGGTGAACACGTCCCGGTAGATGGGGTTGGCCGACGGCACGCTGTTGATCTGTATCACCAAGACGCACAGAGTTAGAGTCCCTTCGTCGCGGAGGTCGCCGCGCGCGGCCGAGGTCGTCCACACTCACCACAGCCTGGCCCTGCGAGGTCCGGGACACGATGATGCCCCGTCCGAAGGGCGGCTCGAACGCCGAGCCGATGCGGAACGTCTGCAGGGGGTTGTTGGGCGGCCAGGTGCGCCGCGTGTGCGCGGGGGCGGCGGCCGACGGCCAGCCCGACACGGACAGGCGGTCGCTCAGCAGCCGCTCGCTCAGGTGGCTGAGGAAGCCGGACACGACGCTGAGCGGCGGCCCGTCCTGGGCGCCCACCGCCATCGACGGCCGGCTGGGCGCCACCGTCTGCGGGGACGGGCTGGAGAACGGGCTGAGCGGGCTGAGCAGGTGTGGCTGCGGCCCGCCCAGCGGCCCGCTCGGGTACAGCTGCGGCGCCATGGACGCGATGTCGTAGCCCAGCGCCGACAACCAGCTGCGGTGGTCT